AGGGTTTTGTTTGTAGTTTGTGTCACTGCCTTCTCGTAGGCAACCATCAGCACTGCTCCACGCAGCGGCTGGCAGGCTTTGCTTGGGGGCTCTCCGGGCATAGCAGGCACCAGCGGTCGACGGAGTACAAGGTCTAAAACTCAGACTTCAGGTTATTAAGGATCAGGAATTATAGCTGAGCATTTTGAATTACAATTAATTTATTTAATAAACCATACTTTCATTTAAGATGTTATAGAAGTTTGTTCCAGTTTGTTACACTGTGAAATGTTCTTTGGTTGGAAAACGAATCTATCAGGTTTTCTCTTTGGGTATAACTGCTGAAATACCTGCTTCACATCCAGGCTGTATTTTAAGTGATCAAAGCTTTGTATAATGACTGCTTAGTTATCTGTGTGAACAAAGCAAATGGCCTCAGCTGAGTAACCAGTGGAAAGTGGGGTACATCATGAAACTCAACAGCTGGCCGTGACTGTCACCTCCTTAGTTATTGTTCATAGAGGGGCCATCAAGACTGATTCACCCTCTCACCTTTTGATGGTACATTTAGGTCAAAATAGAGGCTGCTGCCTTTGCGGTACCCTCGTAGAGTTAAACAGGAGATGTGAGTCTCTGATCTGTACTTTTTGTAAGCTCTAGATTTAATGACAGAGAAAAAGTCCTTTGAATTAAAAAACTAAAATGTGTTTCAGTGGAGCATTGCCATAAACATAGTGTTGTGTATGGTACTGCACACTGCAGTAATTACTGCATATGAAAAAGCTGTTAAAGAAGAGTAGTTGAGCAAGTTATTGGCACAGCGGTGCTTGTTTTTACGCTGCTCTTTGCCATTGTTTTCAAGCTAGGAGCATTTGGCCTTTATTTCATGTAACTTGTGCATACCATAGTTCAAATGCTTTCATTGTGCTTTGCAGCCAAGCACTATTTCATTTGATTTTATTAAAGACATGTCTGCAGATGTACTGTCACAAGAAAGAGCACAGTGCCCTCTAGTTACAGTTTATTGAAATAGGGAAATGTGCAAGTTGTATAAACTTTAGGATCTTGTTACTGTAACATCACAAAAGTGTCTGCTTTTCTCTGTGTCAAAAAAAAAAAATCAGAAGAAAGCTAAGAAAGCTGAGAGAGATTTAAACCAAAGCTCTGTGTTTAGAGACATCTTGACAGTGACTGAACATTGCCATGCAAAAGCATATCTCACTGCTGTTGCTTTGTTTTCTTTCACAAGTTAGAATTTGTATTAACACAGCCAATAGACAAGTCACCTTCTACTAATCAACTTTAGGCCTTGATGTGCTTGGAAATGACTTAAAAGTAGCATCTGTAGCATACTTAATTAGGTAACCCAGTCTTATTGTAGACTGAGCACTCCCATTGCCATTTTTCACATTGTCAGTCTGAATAAATCTCCAGCACAGGAGATGTGTGTGGACTCCATGTGTCATGTATGGATCACAGCAGGAGTTGGATACCTTGCTACTTTGGAAAGCTTTGGGATTTTTTATAGCTTCACAGCAGTCTCAGGTTTCACTGGTTTTTACTCTTTGCCTAATAGGGCTAAGCTATTGTCTTACACCCATGTGATCATGCTCTGTTTAATTATTTGGCTCTTCATTTTTCCT